TTATAATTTTTTATTTTTAATTCACTTACTAATTTTTTATAAACTTTTGTTATATCAATTTTTTATTAAATAAATTAAAACAAATAAAAATATAATGAAATTATTTAAAATAAATATACCAACTAAAAAAACATTTTCTTGAGTTTGGTTTAAAATGTTATCAAACTCAATGAAAGAAAATGCATAATAAAGAATGTTGGAATCATTAAGCAAACTCTGAATAGTCTTAAAATTAAAAACAATCTTGTATTTATATATGGTTGGCTTATAAGGATCTTCACTCAAACAAACACCAAAATTTAAAACTGTATAAACTCCTCCTTCAGTAAAAGCATCTTTAAAATGCAAGATAACCCTAAGAGTTGCTTGAATCCTCTCTTCTAAGTAAAATATATAAAAGTGCTAGAAGTAAAAGATCTTCAAAAATAAACTTTAAAATACCTAATGAAAAGCGATATTAAAAAACACAAAATACTTACTTATTCATCTAAAAGAAGCATTTCAATATTATCATTTAGTTTTGGCTATCGAAAATTCTTCTACTTACAAAGCCTAATTATTTTTTTGAAAAATATTTTTTATAAAAAATATTTTCTTTTTAAAAGATTTATTTTTCTAATATTTGGAATATTATGAATTTTTTTTTTTATAGAAGATGTTTTTTATTGTTTGGTTTCGTAATGGAAATGGAAAATTTTTTGAAAAAAAAGGAAAGAAATGATTTTATTAAGCTGTATTTGAAATGCATATCTAATAATTTAATAAGAAACAACTCTTCCCTTTTCCCATAAAATTGTCCTCGTTCAAAAAAAGAAAAAAAAAATGAAAAACTAAAGCTGTACTGAGACCCTCACGCAAATGGAACATAAACCCAACTTATATCAAGAACAAAAATAATCTCAATCCCTCTTAGGCAATTCATCCAACACATGTACGTATGGCAAGAGTTCCATTTCTTATTTCTTCAACACCCACAAAAATTCCAAGACTTTTCTTAGTTCCATTAAATCATTCTAACGATAACTTGCAGCAATAATTAAACATCCAAGCTCATAATGGAGACATATACCTCACCAGTTATGAAAGCTTAACATAGTTAATTAGGCTTTGATGACATGCGTGCAATTTTCTTTTTCTTTTTTTTTTCCTAATAAATTCACTTCAAACATCTGACGAAGTTCCCGACAAGTGTGTGGATCTAATTTGTTTGAAAATCATGTATTGATTGCTTAGAGGGGAATTTTCAATTTGAGAATGCCCACGGCAAAGTTTTTGTTGACTTCAGTGATTGATGAACTCCTTTTGCTTTCCTATGTTCGAAATTGCTTGAATAATGCATCTGCTGCCTTGGCTAAAGAATAGATAACGTGAGAAAGATGATCAGTCGGCGAAGAGTCGGGTCAAAGAAAGGGTTGAAAAGCTTCGCGTGTTTTTTGTGAAAAATGATTCCCGGAATAGAAATTTTGGAAATTGTTTTCCGAGAAATATACGATATGGTTTTCAGTTGACAGAAATAATTTTTCACTGACCATATTTTCTTCTGTGTACCAAACATAAGAAAATGTGAAAAATATTTTTTAAACTTATTTTTCAAAAATAAAGTCGTCGTGTTAAGCCTTGAGCTCATCATCCATAGAAGTGGCACGATTGTCAAATTTGAGAGACTAAACACTATGGTGGAAGGGATTGGGACCATCGGGCGACGATTTTGTAAGTCAACTTTGGGATTTGAAAATCAAAGACAATGATTGTTGTCAAGCCATTGACTTTATAGATACTAATGTCTAAGAGATGGATACGACGATTTGGGTTTCGATTTGTTTATTGATTAAGAGGCCATGGGACATATTGACGACAGATCGGAGAAGGAGGTGGCATGAAAACAGTTGATGGCAATGGGTTCTAGCATGGAAATGGTTCAACAGCCACAAGCTTCATCAAGAAAGAGCTCCGGCAATGATGATGAAGAAATGGGATTTCATTTTTTTTGAAAGAAGAAACTTGGTTTATTTAGGTATTCTAATTTAAAAAAATATATATATTGCAAAAAAGTTGTGTGTAAAGGGTTCTTCGAAACCGTGTCCGATCTAGTTCTTAATGTATTAAATTAAAAAATAATTAAAGAATAATAATAAAGTTATATATAGTTTGTAAGTGTAAATAGTTGAGAATACATAATTTGAATATGAAAAGGTTTTCGGTATTTTAATTTGAATTAAAGAATAAATAATAATTATTATATATATGGTAGTTTATAATAATAATAATATAAGTGTAAACAGCTCCCTCAATTATTAATATTGCATCTTTTTATCTTAATTGATTATTATTATGCACTTTAATTTATTAAAAAACAAAAAATATAGAATTTTGTAAAAAATATAATGTAAGGGTATAATGGGTAATTATATTGAAAGGGTATGACATCAAATATTTAGGGTATGGCACCAACTCCACCCTTATTTTTAAATTTGATGTAGTGTGAAAAGGAGATTTGAATTGGTTTAAATCTAGTTCAGATCTAGTTTAAGAGTTTATAAAATAAAGTTATATAATTTATAAATGTGAACATGTGTGAATATACAGTGTAAACAAGTGTGAGCACAAAAGGGTTTGGTTTTTTTTTTTTTAATATATCTTTAGATCTTAAGTCGATTTTCCTTGGACTTGGAATAGGATTGGAATGTGAGTTGGGTCTTCTGTTGACTTGAATTAGTAGGGAAACAAACTCTTTTACTTTTATATAGACACCATGAAGAATTCATCATGTACTGCAACTTGTTTCTCATTTTTCTCATCAATGGAAGATATGAGAGATTCAATTGTACTACCACAAATTGTGAAGATAGTGAGAATGGTTGTAAAGTTTCATCCATTATTGATAATAACTAGTTTTACCTTTCAGGTAATATTTCTTCAACACTATATTGAAGGGGAGGTGAGTAATCAATGGAATGTTTTGAAGGTGTATTGCCAATCAACAATGAGAGCTACGCTGGAATTGATTACTGAGAAGACAGAATCTATCCAAAGCCCTCTAGATTCATCTCAACAACAACATGGAAAAGGGTCAACTAAAGGCCAAGGTGATTGGTCAAGTTGCCTTGTTCTTCACGACATTTCTTCTACTAGATACAGAGTTTAGTTCAAAATATGATAAAAGAAGGAGATGGATCTGGTGAGGACGATGAACAGCTAGAAAGAGAAAGGAAAGGAGAGAGAAAGAAAGGGTTGGGCTGGGTACGTTTGGAGTCAACGGAATGTAACGGAGAATGAGTGTGTGCAATGGAATGTGTAACGGAAGAGGGTGTTTATAGCATTTTCCTTTTAAATATTTAAATGACATCGCTTCTTGATCTATCAAAAGATGAACCAGTCTTAAATATTACCAATTAACATGCTACCAAAAAAAAAAAAAAAAGGATAATGGTCTTGCTTCCTCATCTATATATTATCTATTATCTATTATAATCTCCAAGAGGAACTTCCTCACTTACAGCAACTAAAGTTTTTAAAAAAGTAAATGTAAATAGTTTAAATAGTTAACATTTGACTTTTCATTTCTTTTTTGTTAAATAATTTTTTTCATTTTTAAATATTTAAATGACATTTCCCTTTCATCTAAAATAATCAATTTTTAAATTTAAATATCAATATTTGATAGGATGAATTTTTAAATTTTAAATTAAGTTTTAATAAATAAAATAAGATCAAAACTCTAATTTATTTTGAGAATCTTGATGAATATGTATTTTTTATTATATATTAGATTATATATATAAATGTATATCTTATTTAATACATAGAATAACATTTTATATATATATGAGAAGTATATATTAGTCTTGACTCCCAAAAATAATTAGAGTCTTAACTTTAAATTATGTCATTTTATTTAATTAAAACTCAATTTAAAATTTTAAAAATTATCTTATTTAATGTTAATATAGTAAAATATATAATAAGTTTTTAAATTTAGATATCAATATATGAAATTTTAGTTTTTTAAATATAAATTAAGATTTCAATTATTTTTTAAAGTCGAAATTGATATGCACGAATTTATATATATATATATATATTAGTCATGATATAGAAAGTAACATGTATTCACCCATTTTAATATTAAATAATATTGTGAGTGTTTATTATTAATTCATATTTAAAAAAAATATATTTTAACCTTGGGTTGCTCAACGAGATATGAAGTAATATTTTAATTAGAACCAACTTTGAATAAAAAAATTTATATTATTCTCAGCAGATAGAGTGGGTATTTGAGGGGGGCGTTATTGCCACAGCTTCAAACTTGTATGCAATAAATTTTTTGCGGTAAAAACTCTTATACGTAAGTTGAATACGTAAACTTGTGCTTAAAAGTTGGGTCTTAATTGATGCTTAGTTTGATGGTGCTGGATTGTAATTGTACCTATACATTTTTTTTAATATCTTAAAAAAATATAAAATATTTTAAATTTATTTAATATTTATTTTAATTAATATTTTATGAATTTTAAAATAATAAAAAAATATAAAAATTAAAAACTGAAGTACCGAGAAACATTCTCAAATGAAGCCTAAACTGTTTATTGTACATCTTTTTCATGTATTTTTACAATTAAGTAGGTTATTATTGGCATAATTTTAGAATAAAAATGATGTATTTATAATGTCATCTAATATTGTAAACTTATAACATAATATATTATTACATAATTATTATATAATTTATCATTTTTACTTAGAAATTCACATATGATATTGTATATATCTTTTTATTTAATAACACCTCACACTTAATTAATGTTATGTCATTATTGTAAATTTATAATTTTATGTGAAATTATAATTATAGTATTTGATTTTACAAAGATCGGTTTCTGTGGACATGGATTAGTATTGGAATGTTAGGTAGATTTTCCTTGGACTTGGAATACTATTGGAATGTAGGTTGGGTCTTTTGTTGACTTGAATTAATAGGGAAACAGACTCTTTTACGTTTCTATATACACCATGAAGACTTCATCATGTACTGCAACTTGTTTCTCATCTTTCTCACCAATGGAAGATATGAGAGATTCAACTGTACTACCACAAATTGTGAAGATAGGGAGAATGGTTGTCAAGTTCCATCCATTATTGATAATAACTAGTCTTACCTTCCAGGTAATATTTCTTCAACACTATATTGAAGGGGAGTTGTGTAATCAATGGAATGTTTTGAAGGTGTATTGCCAATCAAGAATGAGAGCTATGTTGGAATTGATTACTGAGAAGATGAAGAATCTATCCAAAGCCCTCCAAATGCATCTCGACAATGAAGTGGAAAGGGGTCAACCAAAGGCCAAGGTGATTGGTCAAGTCGCCTTGTTCTTCGCAACATTTCTTCTATTAGATACAGAGTTTAGTTCAAAATATGATAATAGAGGAGCCAAAACACAATTATTATTGCTTATTGGAATAGATCTACTAATTCGTTCAAAGCTTTGGAGTCAACTCGGAATTCTTCGTGGAAGGTGCGTTTGTGTGGCAAATTCAACATCAAACTTCACCTTCTTTATTTTAGCAATTTTTTTTGCAAAATTTTATGATAATTCCTTGAGAACCATAAGTGTTTTACTGTTCATCGCAGTGTTTTTTTTATGTCTACTAGTGGTATTGCGACCACGAATAGACCTTGGGTTGTTTAGTTTCATTATTGGAGTCATTGGATCCATTACTTATAACTGCTTTGAGTTCAAGTTTACCACATGGATAATTGCCTCCATCTGTTTTGTGTTGTTTAGTTTCAAGAGCTGGTTAGATAAGTACTGGTTGAATTTGAGAGAAGATAAATTACTAACCTTTACAAATACCACAACTGGAAGCACCAACATGTTTTTGATTCTATCATTAGCTACTGTACATATTGCAGGAGTCATCTTTGCATCTTTTGTTGTCAAATCTCCACTATCCAACTATAAAGTCTGGTTTGTTAGGGTAATCGCTGGTATGATTTGGAATGCTCGGCTCTATAAGTTCTATCCTAAAGATACCTCACTACCCTTTACAAATACCAAAGGAATCAGTGGTTTGATTTTGACCATTGTCAATGTTGCTCGAGGCATGTTTGTGTTTTCTCTTATGACATTTCCTGTTTGGGATTATAAAGACTGGTTATTTGCAGCAATCAGTTATGTAGTTTTTTGTTTTTGGTTAAGAAACTTTTGCCCTGAAGATCTATTACCACCTTCTACAAATGCTAAAGGAATCAGTGGTGTGATTTTGTTTTTGAAATCTATTGCCACCTATAGTATTGTGGTGTTGGCTGGTTTGGAACCCCACCTATACTACAAAGAGTGGCTGGTTGTGGTAACCTGTTATGTGCTTTGGTGGGTTCGATTACGTACGTCATTTCCCAAATATTTGTTACCATCCATTACTGTTGAATTTAAAGCTCTACAATGGTGGAGTGTGGTGGTAAATTACATGATTTTGGAGGTCACATCTTGGATGATCCAACTATCTAAACCAAGGCATTAACAAACAAGGATACATTGAAACTCTTAATGTGGTTTTGATTCTGATGAGGATTCTGCAATAGTTTCTGAAATAGAGGATTCTAGAGCAGATTTTTTATGAAACAGATTTTAATTTTGAAGTAGTTTGTTTTGTTGTTTTGACTTTCTATTTAGATAAAGATAAGGATTAGCTTTCCTTGATTTTCTCCTTTTATTTGCAAACTGTGTAACTGCTTAGCATCTAGACTTGTATATATATATATTTTGTCTGTGTCTCTGTGTATATATATATATATATAAATCTTTCACAAAACTTTACATGGTATCAGAGCAAAATTCATGGCTTCCGATGATCCGCAAAATTCAATCAACAGGAGTGGAAACCAAACTACTAATTTTTCATCCTTGATCAGTACAATAATCCGTTTTATCTTCACCCATCAAACAATCCTGGCAATATGTTAGTGTCTACTCCTCTCATCGGTGGCAATTATGCTACATGGCGCCATGCTATTATCATTGCACTCACAGCAAAAAACAAATTAAGTTTTGTTGATGGGAGTTTGCCGCAACCAGCAAGGGATTCTCCTAATCTTCAATCATGAACTCGTTGCAACACCATGGTAATCTCTTGGTTGCTCAATTCAATCTCCAAAGAAATTTGTGAAAGTATCATATATGCAGATCTTGCCAGTACAATATGGCAAGAGCTTGAAGAACGCTTTTCACAAAGAAATGCTGTGACAATTTATGAGTTGCGACGAGCCATCATAATGAATTCTCAAGAACAACAATCTGTTGTTGTTTATTATAATAAACTCAAAGCACTGTGGGATGAGTTATCTTTTTATGTTGTTTTACCAACATGCACATGTGGAGCTATGAAGGAATTCTCTGACATCCAGCAACAAGAGAAACTGATATAATTTTTAATGGGGCTTAATGATTCTTATGGCTCTGTTAGGTCACAAATCCTATTAAAGGATCCTCTTCCAGCAGTTAACAAGGCTTATTCTCTGATGTTACGAGAAGAAAAACAACGTGACATTCTTTCTAAATCGTCACAAAATGGCAATTTTGCTGCATCTACTTTTTACTTACAAAAGGTGCGTGATAATCCATCTTCAAATGTTCAATGTACCAATTATAATTCTAAGCCCAAGAGAGGTAGGCCATATTGTGATCATTGTCAAAAATTGGGACATACAAAAGACTACTGCTATGTTCTACATGGATTCCCTAGCACTCTACGTGCTAATCATGTTTAGGGCTACTCCGCTTGTTGATTCTCCTACAATAGCACCACCACTTACTCTAGAGCAATATAATCAATTGGTTTCATTGCTTGGATCTAATTCTAATACTTTACAGTTAGGGAATTCATCTACTTCAGCTTCTACCAACTTTGCAAGCCGGTAAGCATTTTTTTGATTCTCACACATGGATTATTGATACAGGAGCCACAAACCATTTGACTTGTTCTGTTAATAACCTTTCAAATCCTATATCTACACCTTATCTTTCTCCTGTGACTCTACCTACAAGTGAGTCTACATCTATTACACATGTCAGTGATGTTAATTTATCTACATCCTTTACTCTTAAAAATGTTTTTTGTGTGCCATCCTTCAAGCACAATCTTCTCTCTGTCAGTGCCCTTCCATCTACACTTAATTGTATTGCCATATTCACACCAAGTCTCTGTTATTTTCAGGACCTATCAACTTGGAGGACGATTGGAGTGGAGAAGCGTGAAAGGGAGTTGTATCTATTCCGGTCAAATTCTTTTGCCTTGAATGTTCAAATTCCTTCTACCTTTGATATTTGGCATTTTCATTTAGGACATTTGTCCCATTAGAGATTGAATTTTCTTTCTCAATTCAATAAAGAAATTGTTATTAATGAAAATTGTTTGTGTGAGGTTTGTCCTTTGGCTAAACAACATCGTTTGCCATTTTCTTCTAGTAGTATTTCTACTAATATTCCTTTTGAATTAACTCATGTGGATGTTTGGGGACCTTTTTCTCTTAATTCATTGTCAAGAGCTAAATATTTCTTGACTATCGTAGATGATTTTTCATGTTGTACTTGGGTTTATCTCATGCGATATAAATCTGAAGTAGCATTTTTTTGAAACAATTTGTTGCTATGGTTAATACACAATTTAGTGTCAATATTAAGAAAATTCGCAGTGATAATGTCCTTGAATTCTTAAATTCTGATCTACAGTCATACCTTTCTACTCATGGAATTCTTCATCACACTAGTTGTGTTTATACCCCCCAACAAAATGGTGTAGTGGAGCGAAAACATAGGCATTTGCTTGAAGTTGCACAGGCATTAAGATTCCAATACAACCTTCCTTTAAAATTTTGGGGTGAGTGTATCTTGACTGCTACTTATTTGATCAATCGCATGCCCACTCCTTTGCTTGGTAATCATACTCCTTTTGAAGTTTTGCATAATGTCAAGCCTAACTACAGTCATTTATGAGTCTTTGGCTGTTTATGTTTTGCATATAATCATCATCATCCAAATAAATTTGATGCTCGTGCTCGTAAGTGCATTTTTCTTGGTTATCTTTTTGGACAAAATGGTTACAAACTTTATGATTTGGATACAAAAGTTGTCTTTATAAGTTGAGATGTTGTCTTTCATGAGACCTTTTTTCCTTTTAAAACAGCTCTTACTACAGAAAATAATTATGTGGTTTTACCTATTCCAATCAATGATAATGAATGTAGCTCTCTACCTATGGAGTCTCCTACTAATAATATATTATCATCCACACCATCACCCATAATTTCGTCACCTATAAGTCCATCACCATCCTCACCTATTTCTCCTACACATGCATTACCCACAAATGTGCCGTCCTCATCTCCAAATTTACATCCTGCCCAACCTTTAAGGTGTTCCACTAGAACTCATATATGTCCATGATACTTCTCCGATTATCAATGCTCACTCGCCAGTACTCAATTGGACTCCAAGTCAGGTACACCATATCCTATTAGTTCTTTTTTATCTGCAAAAAATTTATCACCAAGTCATTATGCTTTCCTTGCTTCTATTTTGAGTATGCATGAGCCTTCTAATTATTCTCAAGCTGTTAAGGATGAAAATTGGAGACAAGCAATGGAAACAGAGATTAAAGCTCTTAAGGATAATTAGACTTGGATTCTAACTGAGTTACCAGAAGGTAAAGTTCCCATTGGTTGTAAATGGGTCTACAAAATTAAATATAAAACTGATGGTACAATTGAGCGGTATAAAGCTCGTCTTGTTGCCAAAGGTTTTACTCAGCAAGAAGGTCTTGATTATCATGGAACATTTGCACCTGTGGCTAAATTGGTTACTTTGAGGTGTTTGTTAGCAATGGTAGTGAATCAAAATTGGTCTTTGCCTCATTTGGATGTTCAAAATGCTTTCTTACATGGTGACTTACATGAAGAATTATATATGAAAATACCACTTGGCTTTTCTCGTCAGGGGGAGAATCGTGTTTATAAATTGCAAAAATCACTATATGGTCTAAAGCAAGCCTCTCGCAATTGGTTTGCTAAACTTTCTAGTGCGTTACTGGAGGTGGGTTTCTTGAGTTCTACTATGGACCCTTCACTTTTTACTCGGATTAATGGTGGTATTAAACTGTTTGTCCTTGTATATGTTGATGATATCATAGTTACAAGGAATGATGTAGCTGCTATTTCCTCTCTTAAGTCATTCTTGCACAGCAGATTCCATATGAAAGATCTTGGTATCCTTAAATATTTTTTGGGCATTGAAGTTGCAAGATCATCTAAAGGCATTTTTCTCAACTAGAGGAAATATATTTTAGACATTCTTCGTGATTCCGGGTACATGGGTTGCAAACCTTGTGCATTTCCCATGGATCAAAATATCAAGCTTGATACATCTTCTGGTGAGTTGTTGTTTGATCCATCACTTTATCGTCGGCTTGTTGGTCGACTTTTATATCTCATTGTCACACGGCCGGATATCACATATGTTGTTAATCTTCTTAGTCAGTTCATGCATGAACCATGGCACCCTCACTTGGATGCCGCCATTCGAGTTTTGTGTTATCTCAAGTCCACACCTGGTCATGGTCTTCTCTTACCAGCCTCTGGAACTCTTCAACTCACAGCATACTGTGACTCAGATTGGGCTTCTTGTCCCATAACAAGACGGTCTACTACTCATTATTGTGTTTTTCTTGGTGGCAGTCTTATTTCCTGGCGTACCAAAAAGCAGCATGTTGTCTCTCGTTCTTCTACCGAAGCAGAGTATCGAGCCATGGCGTCTGTTACTTGTGAACTTACTTGGCTTCGATCCTTACTTCATGTTTTGGGTATTTCACATCCTCAGCCTTCCTTGCTTTCCTGTGATAACCAGGCTGCTCTTCATATTGCAGCTAATCCTGTTTTTCATGAGTGCACCAAGCATATTGAGATAGATTGTCATCTAGTTCATGAAAAATTACAAGCGAGTCTTCTATCTACTGGGTATGTTTCTTCACTTCAACAATTGGTAGATTTCTTCACTAAGCCTCTTAGTAAAAACCGCTTTCATTTTTTACGAGGCAAGTTGGGCCTTTACTCCATTCAGGCTCCAACTTGAGGGGGAGTCTTAATGTGGTTTTGATTCTGATGAGGATTCTGCAACAGTTTCTGAAATAGAGGATTCTAGAACAGATTTTTGATGCAACAGATTTTAATTTTGAAGCAGTTTGTTTTGCTGTTTTGACTTTTTGTTTAGATAAAGATAAGGATTAGCTTTCCTTGATTTTCTCCTTTTATTTGCAAACTATGTAACTACTTCGCATCCAAACTTGTATATATATATATATATATATATATTGTATCTGTATCAATGAATATATATATATATATAAATCTTTCACAAAACTTTACAGAAACTTTTACATTAACTCCTGTAATCCTCTTTTTCAAGTGTATGTTTATTAGAAAAGTGAACTATGGATGGAAGGGTGGGCTTCAATGAGCCGTTGATAAGAGGCCACCCATCCATCAATGATTTAAAAAAGTTCAATTTAAGTATAGCGAATTGTGAAACAACATTCTCTATGTTTATGTCTAATACCCTTACTAAAACCTATCAATCATTTGTAATTTTTTCTAATCATTTGGGTTTATTTAGTTTGAATTTACACTGCAACTAGCCTTTTGTTATATAAATATCAAATAGCACCCTTAGATCTTATTGGTACATACTAATAAATTAGATTTTATATAAATTAACCCACATGTCTTACATTATAATTGTGTATGTTGTTTTGAAGGGTTAGTCCGAGAGAAAACGTGTCTCCTTATGGAAAAGAGATCAAGTTTAACTTGCTTTTGCTCCATTAAGAAATTGGAATGACTTCATAATTTTATTATTTTTCTCAAAGCCCACGAGCTGGCTTGGATTTTACTATCTACAAGATTTATTAGTTGGTTGGTCAATTGGTTTTACTTTCTTTTAATCATTCATGCTTTGGTCTCCACATTTGTGCATCCTTGCAGTTTTGCTTTGATGAAACCCTTACTTGAAGACTAACAACAAAAATTTATATTGTTATGGCATCATCTTGTTCTTCATAATGGATTTTTGCTAAGAGGTTTTTCAAATGATGAGAGTGGACTAGGGAAGCAGGAGAAGAGCAGAATAGAACATGAACATAACATTGAAATATTCACCTAACCGGAGAGGAAAATATGTTATCCAACTCAGTTTTTTTTTTAATCTTTACTGTAGCAGAAACTACCACATAAATAGTTCTTCTCTTCCCCTAATATTTGACTGCAATGACATGCACATCCATGAAATAAGAAAAGCCATGACTGTACACCTAAAACTTTGACAAAATGTAAAAGTTTACTGCCATTTCTTGCGGCTTTGACACCACGGCTCCAACAATTTTATTAATCTACGATTAATATCTTGCTCATCATTGCCTTTCTAATTTCAGACCAATTTGAATGTCATTTTACTGTGACATTGGTTCATCAGGTTCTTGCAGGTGCTGAATTGGGATGTATAGTAGCATTCCTTGTGAGAAATTTCAATTGAGTGATGGTAGATGGTGATGTCTAAACATTTTCAACTCGGTGGAGCCTTCGTTCTCTGGCTTTTTCTCTTCTCTTTCTAGTTTAAAAGCAATAAATTTCAACAATATATTCTGAAAAAAGAAAAAAACCAGTTTCATAAATGAACTAAACTCAACTCCTTTTCTTCTAATCTTGGGATGGAACAACACCAAATACCAAACATAACTATGTTAGGTGTACACTTGACATGAATTTGACATTTTACTCTGTGTTGAAACTGTTAAATTTCAAGCTATGGTTGTTTGTTGATTTCGGGCATGGAATTGTTGAAGAAGATACAAAAAACCATGAGAAATTCGATGAAATATATGGGTGTTCTAGCCTCTTTTGCATAGAAGGATATGCGGTGCCTTTCATATATGTTAGGTTCAAGATCCTCCCAAATGAATCTACGCAATAAGTTGAGAAGAGAAAACGTCAATGGCATTTTTCTGTATTTCTAAAAGCATCCCCTTGAGGGCGTATACAAGCGAGAATAAAAATGAAGACAAGAAAGAAGAATGAGAGCATTAAAACGGTTGGGTAAAAGCAACAGGATAATTCACCAAAAGAAAATTAAAAAATTGAAAAAGAAGCCAGATAAAATTTTTAAGGTTAAATGTAAATTTTGGTTTGGTAATTTTAGGGTTTTATACTTTTTTTCCTCATTTAACTTTTTAATATATTTTTTGATCCATTAATTTTGAAATTTATATTTTTTTATTTTTTTGTCAATTAATTTTTAAATTTATTTATATATACACATTTTTAGTTTTTTAACTTATAATATTTGTATTTTTTTCTCTTTCAACTTAAAAGTTTAAGGATTAAAAATGTATGCATATAAACAGAATAAAAAAATTAACTAATTAAAACATCTAAAGTGTATGCTTTTCATAATTAAGGGAAAATAATGTATAAAAAGTTGAGAGACAAAAAAAATCTAAAATTCTAAAGTTGTGGAGCCTAAATTGATATTTAATCAATTTTTAAACTTAGGCATGCACCTAGCAAGCTTATTCACAAGGAAAATGCTTTGTCTACCGCCGGTTCAATACTCGGGGATGCACACTCTACAAAACCAATTATTATAAGAATAAAATTATAAATTTAATCTTAAAAGTCATCTTCCTCACAATACCCATTTTTCTTTTTGGCTCTACATCTTCCTCTTCTAACAAATTCTTTATCTTTTTCCTTTTTCCTTCTTCCTTTTTTTTTTTTTCTCTCCATCTGGAGAACCCAGATTGGGTTCTCCATATAGGTTCTGCTGGAAAACCCAAATCAGGTTCTGCTGCAGAACCTGATCTGGGTTCTCCAGTAGAACCCTGATTTGGGTTCTGTTGCAGAAACCCAACTCTAGGTTCTGTTGGAGAACCCGGGAGAAAAAATGGAAAAAAAAAAAAAAAAGAGGAAAAAGGTGGGAACTTGGTACGACTGCCAATTGTCTTGCAGATGATTAGGGTAAGGATGGATTTGGTGCTTAAATGTTTGATTAAGTTTTGATGAGATTTGTTCTTGTTGTCATTTGGAAAATGGTTTAGTGAGAGCGTAAATTTGTAATTTTACCTTTAAAATTTTTTGATTTATACAGTGTGTGCATGAATCATGGTCCTATTCATAATGTTACTAGAGATGGTGTAGATAAATATATAAATATATATAGCATTCCATTTATAAATAAATTTTATATATTATATATATAATTTTAATTGTTTATTTTTTTATTTTTAATAATTAAAATTTATTTATTTTTTATTATATTTATTAAAAATAATTATTTTT